AAAGAAATTATGGGATATGTATTCTTTAGAGTACTATACCGCAGTAAGAAACAACGAAATCCAGTCATTTGCAACAAAATGGAGGAATCTGGAACACATCATGCTGAGTGAAGTAAGCCAGTCCCAAAGGGACAAATACCATATGTTCTCCCTGATCGGTGACAACTGACTGAACACCAAAAAGGAAACCTCCTGAAGTGAAATGGACACTATGAGAAATGGTGACTTGATCAGCATAGCCCTGACTGCTAATGGACAACTTAATACATTATCCCTCATAGTATTTTTTTTTGTCTGTTCTACTTAATATGACTGGTTTAATTCTGTAATTATCACACAGTTATTCTTAAGTGTTGAAAATTAACTAAATTTGTGATCCCTGTTAAACATAAGAGTGGGAATAAGAGAGGGAAGAGATGTATAATTTGGGGCATGCTCGGGCTGACTTGCCCCAATTGGTAGAGTTGGAAACATACCAGGGGATTCCAATTCAATCCCATCAAGGTGGCATGTGCCAATGCCATCTCACTACTCCAAGTGATCAATTTCAGTTCACAATTGATCATAATGAAAGGACTAAGAGTCAAAGGGAGCACATAAACAAGCCTAGTATCTGCTAACACCAACCGATAGAATAAATAAAGGGGAGAGTGATCCAACATGGGAAGTGAGATACTTAGCAGACTCATAGAATGGCGGATGTCCTAAATAGCACTCTGGCCTCAGAATCAGCCCTAAAGGCACTCGGATCTGGCTGAAAGGCCCATGAGAGTATTTCAGGCATGGAAAGCCAAGACACTCTGGCAAAAAGATCTCTGTGAGTGAGATCCCAGTGGAAAGAACAGGTCTTCAAAGAGGGAGGTGCCTTTCTCTGAAGGGAGGAGAGAACCTCCACTTTGACTATGACCGTGTCTAAACAAGATAAGAGTCGGAGAACTCAAGGGGCTTCCATAGCCTTGGAAACTCATGACTGGTGCATAGGGAGATTACTGATGCCATAAACAGGAGTGTCAATTGGTAAAGTCAACAACAGGAGTCACTGTGCACTTACTCCTCATGTAGGATCTCTGTCCTTAACGTGCTGTACACTGAGGCTTAATGCTATAACGAGTACTCAAACAGTATATTTCACTTTGTGTTTCTATGGGGGTGCAAACGACTGAAATCTTTACTTAATGTACACTAAACTGATCTTCTGTAAAAAAAAAAAAAAAGAAAAGAAATTATCAATTCCCAACTTGACTCTCACTGGGATTAAACATGACAATAGGTCTGATCTGATTTCATCATCATTTAAAAAAAATCATCTATTATTTTTCACTTTATGTTTCTGTGTGGGAGCAAACTGTTGAAATCTTTACTTAAGGTGTGCTAAACTGATCTTCTGTATATTAAGATAATCGAAAATGAATCTTGATGTGAATGGAAGGGGAGAGGGAGTGGGAAAGGGGAGGGTTGTGGGTGGGAGGGACGGTATGGGGGGGGAAGCCATTGTAACACATGAGTCGTACTTTGGAAATTTATATTCATTAAATAAAAGATAAAAAAAAAAATAACAAGATGCCAAGAGGGGAAATTACTTGCATCATAGTCCTTGAGAACTAATGATCATCATAGGTGATCTAAAGAATTTAGAAGGTTTGTGAGCCCCTAGAATGAAAAAGTCACTGAGAGCACAAGGACAGTTTCTAGAGTTTATTTTGATGGATTTTAGCCCCTTTCATCAGAGGGAGGCCCATATAAGCTGGACTGATTTGTAACATCAGTGACAATTAATTTTGTAAATGAGGTATGCATTGCACTAAAACCCAAGTAGGATGATTAGGCTTGTATGTACTTGAGAAGCCTGTCAAATCATCTCATTCATGGAGCTTGTCATCTATGTGATGCATGCTTGTGTTCCTGATAAGTGGTGGGTGTGGTTAATTTTTTTTGCAAAAATTCTGTTTGATGGCAAAGTCAATGAGGTGTCCATGTATACCTCAGAAGAAGTATCTTTTCAAGGTGAAGGCAAACTGAGACGGAGGGGCTTTTGTAAAAACTTTGAACAAAACACATTTGCCACACTTGTAATAGTTAAGACACATCATTTATCTATTGAGATGCATCAGATTTGTTAACATTAGGTATAAGGTACAGTGGACATGGTGGGTGGCATACAGCAGTATGATTTTAGTAATTATCATGAGGTGCTTTTTTTTTTAATAGATTTAGCAGATTAAATTGGGATGCCTAATGGGGAATAGCTGGAGTAATCTCCTTTTTGTTAAATAAATCTGAGGTAATAAATGTCAGTGTAAGAAGACATTGAGTTTTCTTTTATTGAGCCATCTTGGTTATTTTAATCTGGGATCTGTGAATTCTCATTTTCTCTAGCCAAGTTGCAACTTAAAAAGTATTTTATTCCTCATCATGTTGGACTAACTCTGCTGCTTCTGGGATTTTTTTGTACATCTGACAATTGGAAATGGAGACAATAGTATAATTAAAATGAGATGTACCAAGTAAAGTATGTATTTTTCTTCTGATACATATTTTGGAATTCTTCTAAAATTCCTTGTTAAATTTAGTTGAATCCCTGGTTAAGACATATTGGAGCCACACTACTGAGTACACCTATGAAACTTTGTTCATAAATGCATATAGAACCTGGGAAAGTTGATGTATATCTTATGCTGTAGAGACATAAGATGGAACATATTTTTTATCCTTTTTCATTATAAAATTTAAAAACAAATTTTAGGTTTTCAATAGGATCAAATCATGATAAATTTAAATACAATTCCCAAGAATTCTTTCCACATTTGAATTTCTCCACTTATACTATGTTCCTTTAGGTTGTAAATATGTCAAGCATTAATGAGGAATTGATTATTATGTGGATATCTCTTGTGGTTAGACAAGTTCTGATGTAACCCCTCTGTGTCCAAGGAGACTGATTTTCTAGCTGATGTATGGATCATCTTCATTGCTTCTAATGGAGACATGCATTGGTATCTGGGAATCTAGCCTCATCTGCCCATGATGTCAGCAGCTCAGGACCATGGGAAATCTCCTCTGGCCTCCTTCTCAGTATGTGCCATTCCAACCATTCCCACCATCTTCACAGAATTCCTGACTCTGGGGCTTTCCTTATATTGCTCAAGAACTGTGTGGTTGGTTTCTGTGTCTGTGGATGTTAGTGTGCGGGTGAAAGGAACCTTGGAGAGCAGGACAGGTGTCTGTCTCTTGGTGGCATAGGTGACAGTCATAGATCTGAGGTATTAAGTTATGTCATTCAGGTGCACCCTGTAGATCTTGGCTGGCCTAGGAAGGGACACCAATGCCACATCCTCAGTTCTGGACCTGGAGAAAGGGTGAATAAGGTTGAGATTTTAAAGATATTTTTATCAAAAATTGGTGCACTGAAACAAGACCAATGTGTCTCCAGTTGTACAGAGGCAGCTACAAAAGTTCTGTAGAAAGACTGTTTCATCCAGAGCCAGCACTGTGGTGCAGTAGGTTAATCCTCCATGTGGGGTGCCGGCATCCCATATGGGCACCATTTCTAGTCCCGGCTGCTCTTCTTCTTATCCAGCTCTCTGTTGTGGCCTGGCAAAGCAGCAGAAGATGGCCCAGGTGCTTGGGCTCCTGCACCTGGGTGGGAGCCCAGGAAGAAGCACCTGACTCCTGGCTTTAGATCAGCACAGCTCCATGCATTGTGTCCATTTTGAGAGTGAACCAATGGAAGGAAGACATTTCTCTCTGCCTCTCTCTCTCACTGTCTGTAATTCTACCTGTCAAATAAATAAATAAAATTCTTAAAAAAAGAAAGAAAGTCTATTTCATCCAAGATGACAATGTGATGGAGCTGGGTGTTCAGGCCATTTGAGATGAAACCTGTATGGGTGACTGTTGATTGCAGCTCTGTCACTGTTTTGAACTGTCACTCACATGGGATACAGGCAGCAGCTTTACCCACTAAGCCACAGTGTCAGTCCCCAAAATAACTTTCATTAATGTAAATTTTACTGAATGTAATTAATTTCAACAATAACAAAGTTTTACTGTTTTTTATTGTTACAATATCATTTAATAAAATTTTTGCAATGCTCCATTCCTGCTGACTACCTCCAAAGCATGGAATTGAGGAAACAGCTGCTGAATGCAGGAGACTGGGTGCCCAGGCTCATCCTTTTGTGGTTGACTGCAGTAACCGAGAAGATATTTACAGCTCTGCAAAGAAGGTAAAGGCAGAAATTGGAGATGTTAGCATCTTAGTAAATAATGCTGGTGTAGTCTACACATCTGATTTGTTTGCTACACAAGACCCTCAGATTGAAAAAGCTTTTGAAGTTAATGTGCTTGCGCATTTCTGGACTACAAAGGCATTTCTTCCAGCGATGATGAAGAACAATCATGGTCATATTGTCACTGTGGCTTCCGCAGGTGGACATACTGTGGTCCCCTTCTTACTGGCTTATTGTTCCAGCAAGTTTGCTGCTGTTGGGTTTCACAGAGCTTTGACTGACTGAGCTGGCTGCCTTAGAAAGAACCTGAGTCAAGACGACATGTCTCTGCCCGAATTTCATAAACACTGGCTTCATCAAAAATCCAAGCACCAGCCTGGGACCCACCCTGGAACCTGAGCAAGTGGTAAACAAGCTGATGAATGGGATCCTGACAGAGGAGAAAATGATCTTTGTGCCGTCTTCTATATGCTTTTTAATGATATTGGAAAGGATCCTTCCTGAGCGTTTCCTGGCACTTGCAAAACGAAAGCTCACATGTAAGTTTGATGCAGTAATTGGATATAAAAAGAAAGAATAAGTGTCTGGTCTTCCTGAACACTGATTCCCCACATTTAAGTGATTTCTCGTAACATTAATCAGTTTCAACGTTGGAAGTTCCCTTTTTCCTAATTGTCCTTTTTTCTTCAGTATCACCCTGACTATTCTCATTTATCTCCACTTTTTGTTTATCTGAAACATGATTTCTTGTATCACAGAAATGACCATAGGAATTGACTTTACAGAAAATGAGGAAAAGGAACAAAAACAATATGACAGTAATTCCTGGGGAAAAAAATTTTTTTTTTGCAATGCTTTCATTAAACCAAAGATAACTTCTGATTAATCTCTGCCACTTAATAGAGGTGGGTTCAGTTGCCATATATTTGCAGGTTTAAATAATTTTTCCTCCATGAAGTTTGTTTTCTTTATTTATGTACTCATGATTCTTTATTCATTCTAGCACTCCGTTTTCTACAGTGCAATGTAGAAAGAAAGCCATGAAATTTTCTTTTAAATCCTTGCATTTATGTTTTCTTCCAGGAATGATTCATGACACCTCCAGATATTTCAAAGAGCAAAGAAAATTAATACGTCACCTGCAGATTGTGTACTTTTAAAATCATATTTATTTTATGCATTTGAAAGACATAGTCACAGAGAGTAACAGAAAAAGAGAGAGAGAGAGTCTTGCATCTGCTGGTTCATTCCCCAAAAGGCCACAAAGGTCAGACCTGAGCCAATCTACAGGCAAGAGGCAGGATCCTTCTGCATCTCTCACATAGGTGCATGGGTCCACGCCCTTGAGTCATCCTCCAGTACCTTCCCAGTAATATTTGTAGGAGCAGGATTTGAGGTGGAGAAGCCAGGACTCAAACTGGCACTCATATGGGATGCTGGCTCTGAGGGCTGGGGCTTTATCCCACTGTGCAACAGCACTGGCCCTGTAAGTGTTTTTTTTTTTAATTATTCTCAGGTTGCTGTCAGTTTTCTTTTTAGATTTATAATAATTTGTTAATAAAAATGGGAAAATAAAGATAAATTTTATTCTTAGGGAATATATAAAAACAAGACAAATGAATTTGTCATGACTATCAAGCATTGAAGTAATCTAAGGCAATTTGGTCTCATCTTTCTGTTGCCATAGCAAAATACATATTATTTATATTTTTAAATGAGGCTTCAAGGATAATATTCGAAATTGGGGGTCATGATGTCAAATACAGTCATTATTGTTATATAGATGATGTAGTGGGCAGTGTTTCAGTACCACCATGGAAATAAACACTGAACATTCTGCAAGAGTAAGAGTTAGCTAGTGCTAAAACACAAATCAGTTGCATTTATTTTTTTAATTGTTAGAGTAATGCAGACCTTCATAATTTGGGGAGCTGACCTTGATTCAGAGATAGCATAAGGGCTGTGTGAGGAAAAAAAATCTATTGCAGGTTCTTTTATGTTTTAAGTTTTTATTTAAAAATTTATTTTTTATTTGAAAGTCAGAGTTACAAAGAGAGAGAGGCAGAGAGAGAGAGAGAGTAGAGATCTTCATCTGCTGGTTCACTCCCTGGCTGCCCACAATGCCCGGAGCTGTGCTGGTCTGAAGCCAGGAGCCAGAGCTTCTTCTCAGTTTCCCACATGGGTTAAAGGACCCAAGGGTTTTGTTCTTCTTCTACTACTTTCCCAGGTCATAGCAGAGTGCTAGATCAGAAGTGGAGCAGCTGGGTCTAGAAATGGCACCCATATGAGATGTCAGCACTTTAGGCAAGGGTGTTAACCCACTGTACCACAGCTCTGGCCCCAAGATTTATTTATTAACTTATTTGAAAAGCAAATAGAGATATGGAAGGATGGGTAGTAAGAGATACCTTCCATCTACTGGTTCATTCACAAAATGACCACAGGCATCCCATGTGGAGCACCAAGGACTCAAACTGTTCACATTGGGATGCCTGAATTGCAGGTGGAGGGTGCAGGCTTATCTGCTGCACCATAATACTGGTGCCTACTACGGTTCTCAAACAAATCTCTCTGCATTTCCCTCAGTCACAAATGCAGATTATAGTACAGAATTTCTCAAGGAAATTTCTTTGGAAATTTGATGCAGAGATAGAGTATCTGAGCTGACTTCATAAACACTAAGTTAAGTCTGTAATGTCTCAATTTAAATTTTTTTTTCTCTGCCATAATTGCATTGACTGTGCATGGTGTTTTCCTGGAAATTCTTCTCTGTTCAAACTCTTCATAGCTTCCCTGATGGTTTCTTGTCTTTTTCCCTGAATACTTCTACATTCTTCTGAACATTGCTCATTCCAGAGTGACTATTGTCCCCCTTTCAGCCTCCTGTGCAATTGCCCTTGACATAGTCATGGCCTTTCTGAACAGAAATTCCTGTTTCCCTCCAGCTTGGGCATTTTTCACAGCCTTTATACCACAGGTTTGATCCCCTGTTGAATGCTTCTGTGTGGCTGTCCAAATGCTCAACAAATCTGAAATGAAATGGCATCCTTCCTTCTTCCTCCATATGCATGCAGTAGTTATACATCTGCCATTTTTTGTTATGTGACAGAGTTGACATGTTGACCAGGAGTGTTCTATCACAGGTGATGATAACATTTGAAGACCTGGCTGTGTACTTTACCTGGGAGGAATGGCAGAACATGAACCAAGCTCAGAAAATCCTGTACAAGGATGTGATGCTGGAGACCTACAGCAGCCTGTTCTCCTTGGGTGAGTGACACTCATCACATGCCCAGTGGTAACATTTTGCTCACTATTTGACAAATAAGTGAGCACTATTAATAAACTTTATAAATGAGGGACAGGAATAGAATTTGAGTCCATGAAGAATCTGATTATATACCATCTGAGAAGGAATTCAAATTGGAACATTTGTTGCATAGCTCCTGGACCATGCTGTTCACCTTTAATTAACCCAAGATAGTGATTTCACAAAGTGTTACATTATTTCCATTACTAGGGCACTGCATGACCAAACCTGACTTGATCTTGAAGTTGGAGCAAGGAGCAGAGCCCTGGATGGGGGAAGAATGCTTACATCATAGCCTCCCAGGTGAGTGTGTACATAATGGTCAGGGAGGCCAAAGTAGAATCATTGCAGCAGATGTTGAGTGGTGGTCTTTCTCTTAATTTACAGTTATTCTACAGTATCTATGGAGATCAGTATCTCTGGTAAAGGCAAAGGAAATGAAGTTTCATGTGTAAATCGGCAACTGATCAAAATCTCCAGAATTGCATATTATCAAAGAGGAGTGTTTATGTAAAAAATGAAAGGAGGTCACCAGGAATGACAACTGCACAATGAGATAGAAATAAATTTTGAAGAAATTAAGCAGATTCTGGTCTGCAGAAACAAATTCTTTAAATTGCTTGTGAATGTATACCGAAGGTGGTATATTGGGACTTTCTGTAACTATTGTAGTTCTCAGAGGCTGAGGATATCAGATTTCCTTAGAAATATGGGGAAACTGTAATAGAGTGCAGATAAAACAGTTTTTCATTAGAAAAATCCCACAAATGCTGTTTCCCTGGGAAGACAGAACATGAGACAACCACAGATGCAAATCTTGTCCCTTAAATGTGATCCTGCTTGGAATACAGACACATTAAACTCTTCTCCACCTGCAAGAAAATGATCCAGCAAAAGTTTCCCATATTGATGTTTGAAATATCAGAGAAGTACAAAACAGACAATTTTAGAAAAATGAACTGGAATGAATAGGACAAGGAAAAATTGATTTCTTGGCAATAGCTGATTATTTTTACCAAACATATGTCCTTTCTTTAAAATCTTATATAGTTGTTTCACCTTTGTGAAAGGCAGAAAGTCAGTGAGAGGAGAAACAGTGAGAAAGAGATTTCCTATTAGCTACCTCCCCAGATACCTGCAGCAGTTAGGTCTGACTAATTTGAAGCCAAACGCCTGGCATTCCAACTATTCCAATCTGATGTATCACAGGGTCCCAAGCACAAGAACCATTATCTCCTGCCCCCTGGTATACATTAGTAGAGAGCTGTATTTGAAGCAGAGTATCCTGGGCTTAAATTGGCACTGTGTTTGGATGCAGACATTCCAAGCAATGACTTGTATTCATTTTGTTAATTCTATCCCTCTTAAATACAAGTAACTTCATTCCTTTTACATGAGTATGCCAGGAAAAAGAATTATATTTGATTTATTGACAGCACCATTTTTTTTTTCTCACTTCAGTTGCCACGAAAAGGGATGACCTGATTAGGAAAAACCAGAAAAGTCAGGACAAAAATCTGAACCAGAATGTTATGAAAAACAATAAGACATCAACTCCCAAGATCATTGAATTAAGAAAAACACTTCGTTTAAGTTCAAACCATATTCCAAAACTGAGTATCAAAAAGAGAATCTATTCAGGAATGAAACCTGAAGAATGCAATGTATGTCACAATGTGTATCTGCACTGTGGGCCTGTTCAACTACAAACTGGAGAAAAATTTGATGCTACTAATGTGCCTGGGAATGCTCTCCAGATCTGTGAGGCTCTTAATCAACAGCACAAAAATCAGACTGTGCAACAGTCATTTGAACCAATCGGAAAAGGCAAAGTCTTCAACAGGAAAAATATATTTTGTCAATCTGAGAGGCATTTTATGGTAGAAAGTAAGAAGTCAACTGCCAATATTGGCAAGACAACTCAAATAGAACATGATTTCCATAAAAATTCTAACCTCAGTATGCATCAACAAAGTCCCAGAAGAGAGAAAGTTTATGAATATAGTAGTTCTTTGGAACCTGTCATTGATCAATCACCTCTTAAAATAAATCATAGACCACATATAGGGAAGAAACCCTATGCATGTAAGCCTTGTGGAAAATCATTCAGTTATAAATTCTGCCGTGCAATTAATTACGGTACTCACATAGTGGAAAACTCTCATGTGTTTAATGAACATGGAGAAGCCACTTACCAGAAGTCACATCTCATAAATCATCAGAGAATTCACTCAGGTGAGAAACCTTATGAATGTAATGACTGTGGAAAATACTTTGGTCAGGAAGTCACACCTCATAAAGCATCAGATAATTAACACAGGGAATAAACTTATGAATGTAATAACTGTGGAAAAGCTTTTGGCCTAAAGTCACACCTCATAAATCACCAGAGAATTCACATGGAGAGAACCTTATGAATGCAGTGACTGTGGAAAAGCCTTTCACTATTAAATCAATCCTCACAAAGCATCAGAAATCACACAGGGGATAAGCCTTATGAATGTAATGACTGGTGGAAAAGCCTTTGGCCCGGAAGTTCCATTTTATAAATCATCAGAGAATTTCACACAGGGGAGAAACCTTATGAATGTAATGACTGTGGAAAAGCCTTTGGGAAAAGTCACACCTCATAAACACCAAAGAATTCACACAGGAGAGAAACCTTATGAATGCAATGACTGTGGAAAAGCCTTTCGCTGTAAATCAGTCCTCACAATCATCAGAGAATCACACAGGGAAGAAACCTTATGAAAGCAATGAGTGTGGAAAAGCCTTTGGCCAGAAGTCACACCTCATAACACATCAGAAAATTCACACAGGGGTGAAACCTTATGAATGCAGTGACTGTGGAAAAGCCTTTCGCTGTAAATCAGCCCTCACAAAGCATCAGAGAATTCACACAGGGGATAAGCCTTATGAATGTAATGACTGTGGAAAAGCCTTTATGTGGAAGTCTTGTCTCATCCTACATCAGAGAATTCACATAGGGGAAAAACCTTATGAATGCAATGACTGTGGTAAAGCCTGTAGCCAGAAGTCAAACCTCATAACTCATCAGAAAATTCACACAGGAGAGAAACCTTATGAATGCAATGAGTGTGGCAAAGCTTTTGGCCAGAAGTCACACCTCATAACTCATCAGAAAATTCACACAGGGGTGAAACCTTATGAATGCAGTGACTGTGGAAAAGCCTTTATGTGGAAGTCATGTCTCATTCTACATCAGAGAATTCACACGGGGGAAAAACCTTATGAATGCAGTGACTGTGATAAAGCCTTTGGCCAGAAGCCACATTTCATAAATCATCAGAGAATTCACACAGGGGAGAAACCTTATGAATGCAATGAGTGTGGGAAAGCCTTTGGCCAGAAGTCACACCTCTTAAGGCATCAGAAAATTCACACAGGGGAGAAACCTTATGAATGCAGTGACTGTGGAAAAGCCTTTGGCCGGAAGTCCCATTTCATAAATCATCAGAGAATTCACACACGGGATAAGCCTTATGAATGTAATGACTGTGGAAAATCCTTTATGTGGAAGTCACATCTCATCCTACATCAGAGAATTCACATGGGGGAAAAACCTTATGAATGCAATGACTGTGGTAAAGCCTTTGGCCGGAAGTCACAGCTCATAACTCATCAGAAAATTCACACAGGAGAGAAACCTTATGAATGCCATGAGTGTGGGAAAGCCTTTGGCAAGAAGGCATACCTCATAAATCATCAGAGAATTCACACAGGGGAGAAACCTTATGAATGTAATGACTGTGGAAAAGCCTTTGGGAAGAAGTCACACCTCATAAATCACCGAAAGAATTCACACAGGAGAGAAACCTTATGAATGTAATGACTGTGGAAAAGCCTTTCACTGTAAATCAGCCCTCACAAAGCATTAGAGAATTCACACAGGGAAGAAACCTTATGAATGTAATGACTGTGGAAAAGCCTTGGCCGGAAGTCCCATTTCATAAATCATCAGAGAATTCACACAGGGGAAAAGCCTTATGAATGTAATGACTGTGGGAAAGCCTTTATGTGGAAGTCACATCTCATCCTACATCAGAGAATTCACACGGGGGAAAAACCTTATGAATGCAATGACTGTAGAAAAGCCTTTCTAAGAAGTCATCTCTCATCCTACATCAGAGAAGTAATACAGAGGAGAAACCCTATGAATACAATGACAGTGGGAAACCATTTGGTCACAAATCAAGCCTCATAAGTCATCAGAGAATTCACACAGCGTAGAAAGATTATGAATGTAATGACTGGAAAAGCCTTTCTGAGTAAGTCAGCTCTAGCACCCACATCAGAGAATTCGCACAGGGGAAAAACCTGATGAATGTAAAGACTGGAAAAGTCTTTACCCATAAGTCAAACCTCAAAAGGCATCAGAGAAGTCACACAGGGGATAAACCTTCTGAATGCAATGACTTGGAAAAGCCTTTGGCCAAAAGTCAAGCCTTGTAAATAATTAGAGAAGCCATACAGGAGAAACCTTATGATGTATGACTGTGGAGAAGTTTTCTTTGCAAATTTCTATGCAATTCAGAGCTCAATGAACATCAAAGAAGTCACAGGAGAGAAAATTTATGATGGCAATGACTGTGCAGAAGCCTCTTCATATGACAAACATCACAAAGCATCAGAGAATTCACATGGGGAGAAATGTCATGAATAATGATAGTAGAAAGCCTTTTGTTATAATTTTCAACTAATAAAACATCACAGAATTAACAGGGAATTTTCCACACAATTGCCTTTTTGTGCAAGTTCCTTTTCATTAAATAACAGAATCCATCAAGGGAGAACAATAAGATTATAGTCAGTGTGGATATGCCTTTGGTGCCAATTATACCTCATCAAGCATAACAGAATTCACATGGGGAAAATCTTATGAATGTAATGACTCAAAGTCTTTTACCATAACTTAGCCCACATTGCACATCATCAAATTCATACAGGGAAAAAACCTTTGAAAGTAATCTTGTGGAAAAGCCTTTACTTAGAAGTCATAGCCCACAAGACATCAGAGAATTCACATGGGGGAGAAATCTTATGAATGTAATGAGTGTTGGAAAGCTTTGCCAAAATCTCAGGTACAACATTAGAGAATTCACAAAGTGGAGATCTCATGAATGAAATAAATGTGGGAAAGCTTTTTGTCATAGGTCATACCTCATAATCCATCATCTATTTTGAATGGGAGAGACTTTGAGAATATAATAAGGGGTTGGCTCTGTGGCTCATTTGGTTAATCATCCCCTGTGGTACCGGCATTTCATATGGGCACCAGGTTCTAGTACTGGTCACTCCTTCCAGTCCAGGTCTCTGCTGTGGCCTGGGAAGGCAGTGAAGGATGGCTCAAGTCCTTGGGCCCCTGCACCAGCATGGGAGACCAGGAGGAAGCACCTGGCTCCTGGCTTTGGATCGGCATAATTCCAGCTGCAGCAGCCATTTGGGGGAGAACCAATGTAAGAAAGATTTTTTCTCTGTCTCTCTAACTCTATCTGTCATAGAAAGAGTGAGAGAGGTAGGGAGGGAGGGAGGGAGGGAGGGAGAGAGAGAGAGAGAGAGAGGGAGAGAATGTATATATTGAATGTGGAAGAGTTTCCCTTCAAATAATGTAAGTATTAGGACAAAATTTTCTGCTGGAAATCACATCTTATCCAACAGGGACGCATGTAATGGAGAAAGCTTATAAATATTAATAGTGTTAAAAAAGCATTTGTCACAAATCTATCATACATCAGAGAATTCAGATGGGGGTTTCTTTTTTTTAACTTTTATTTAATAAATATACATTTCCAAAGTACAACTTTTGGATTATAGTGGCTTTTGTCCCACATAACCTCACTCCCACCTTCAACAATCGAACCTCCCACTCCCTCTCCCATCCCATTCACATCAAGATTCATTTTCAATTATCTATATACAGATAAATTTAGTATATACTAAGTAAAGATTTCAACAGTTTGCACCCACAGAGAAACACAAGTATAAAGTACTGTTTGAGTACTAGTTATGCCATTAATTCACATAGTACAACACATTAAGGACAGAGATCTTACATGGGGAGTAAGTGCACAGTGACTCCTGTTGTTGATTTAACAATTGACACTCATAAATAGATGTCAGTAATCAACCGAGAATCTTGTCATGAGCTACCATGGCTATGGAAGCCTCTTGAGTTCACCAACTCTGATCTTTTTTTAGACAAGGCCATAGTCAAATTATAGGTTCTCTCCTCCCTTCAGAGAAAGGTACCTCCTTCTTTGATGGCTCATACTTTCTGCTGGGATCTCACAGAGATCTTTCATTTAGGTCACTTTTTTTTTTTTTTGCCACAGTGTCTGGCTTTCCATGCCTGAAATACTCTCATGGACTTTTCAACCAGATATGAATGCCTTAAGGGCTGATTCTGAGGCCAGAGTGCTGTTTAGCAGGACATCTACCATTCTATGAGTCTGCTGTGTATCCTACTTCCCATGTTTTATGGTTCCCTCCTTTTTAATTCTATCAGTATTAGCAGACACTATTGTTTATATGATCCCTTTGACTCTTAGACCTATCATTACGATCAATTATGAACTAAAAGTGATCACTTTGACTAGTGAGATGGCATTGGTACATGCCACCTGATGGAATTAAATTTGAATCCCCTGGCATGTTTCTAACTATACCATTAGAGGTAAGTCCAGTTGAGCATGTGCCAAACTGTACCTGTACTCCCTCTCTTATTCCCACTCATATTTAACAGGGTCACTCTTCAGTTAAACTTAAACACCTAAGAATAATTGTGTGTTAAATAAAGAGTTCAACTAATGGTATCCAGTACAATAAAAAAAAAAAAAAGTAATAAAGTAGTAAGATTTCCCTCGAAAGTCAGGACAAGTGATGATCAAGTCATTGTTTCTCATAGTGTCCATGTCACTTCAACAGGTTTCCTTTTTGGTGCTCGGTTGTCACCGATAAGGGAGAACATATGATATTTGTCCCTTTGGAATTGGCTTATTTCACTCAGCATGATGTTTCCAGATTCCTCCATTTTGTTGCAAATGACTGGATTTCACTGTTTTTTGACTGTTGTATAGTATTGTATAGAGTACATGTCCCATAATTTCTTTATCCAGTCTACTGTTGATGGGCATTTGGGTTGGTTCCAGGTCTTAGCTATTATGAATTGAGCTGCAATAAATATTAAGGTGTATATAGCTTTTTTGTTTGCCAATTTCATTTCCTTTGGGTAAATTCAAGGAGTGGGATGGCTGGGTTGAATGGTAGGGTTATATTCAGGTTTCTGAGGAATCTCCAGACTGACTTCCATAGTGGCTTGACCAGTTTTGCTTCCCACCAAAAGTGGGTTAGTGTCCTTCTTTCCCCACATCCTCTCCAGCATCTGTGTTGGTAGATTTCTGAATGTGAGCCATTCTCACCGGGGTGAGGTGAAACTTCTTCTTGCCCAATGGGTTTGGCTATAACTTCCAGTACTATAGTTGAATAGCAATGGTGAAAAGTGGGCATCCCTGTCTAGTGTAATGAATGTGGAAGACATTTTCTGGGAATTCAGGCTTGTATGAATATAGAATTCACAACAGGTCCTATTGTTTGAATGCTGTAAGTATGAACATTCCATTAGCCAGAAATAGACATCAACAGACTTCAGAGAATTCATAAAGTGAAAAATCAATGTAATGAATGTGAAAAAAATCCTTCTGCTATAAGTCAGTCTTCTATTCACACGAAGAGGCTCAGAAGTGAGAAAACTTGCAAAAAAAGAAAAGTTTTATACGACCAGTCACCTCTAGATGGTAAAACTGATAACTCACACAAAGGCATATGAATGTAATGGAATTGGGAGTACCTTTACTGTAAAGCAAATTTCCAGAAAACAAGATTACATTTACAGAAAGTCTCTGAAACTGTGAAGTGTCTGGAGGAATTGTTTTTTTGGAATCACACCTCAGCAAGTGTGATGAATTGCCATGAAGACTGGTTAACCATTCTTGAGAGATTCTTTCTCTTATACTACCTTCATTTTTTAGTTTCCCATTATTATGAATGGAACCAGACAAATGAACTGTGTTTTCATGTATAAAGTTTGCTGACAAATATTCAACACTTGCAGCAGTTGATACAACAGTTATTTCAACAGTTTTTGAAATGCCGTCTTAATCAATTATAAATTTATTTGTTGTACATTAGTTTTGATGTCTGTGCATGATTTTTGCCCAACATTATTGTAGTGCAAACGAGTGATGTTGATATAGGGTAAGTTAGATAGTTAAGTTCATGATCTGGAAGCCCACACTTTACCCACCCTATGCTCCTATATCCATCTACCTGTACAGTCAGATACCCCTTCTCCAGGAAATATTCTCCTTACCCAGAACATGGAGGTGGTACCCTGTGCTTTCTAATCACCTATAAGTTTGGGTAAAGAGGAGGTGGGATCTTCTCCTGGAGCAACAGCCAGCAGGCATGAAAATCACTTTCATCTTCTCTGGCCCACTCTCCAAAGAAAGTCCCTCATGTGCCTCTGTATTTTCTTCACTCAGAACTCAATTTCCACAATATGCTAAGCTCTCACCTAAATACGTGTTTTTTATCATGGAAACTCTGAATATTATGTTTGAACAAACTTTACATATGTGCTTATGTTGAAGACTTTGAAATGAGTTAGCGTGGGTTTACCATGTAACCCTGGCTATAATCACAAGTGCCAATAAAGTCACTCATGTCACTCAGCTCCATCACTTTCTAATTCATGACCTGGACTGCCTCTCTGAGCCTGTTGGATCTCCCCTCCTGCTCAGTGAGGCCTCAAATTAACTAGTTACACACTGCTGAGAGATGGAATCATCACAAAAATGTGGAGATAGCATGGACCATAACTGGAAACAATCCTTGGTCCAATGTAGGCCTTTGTTCCTAGTCTGCCCCATGAGATCTAGCCACTACCTCCACACCCACTGTCTGCATCACTCATGGAGAAGCAGGGTTCTTCATGGGGACACAAACATGATACCTTATCATATTCCTAGGACACACCCATTGACAGTTCATATTCTACAACTGGTGGATCACATCCCTTTCAAAAATTCTGACCTATATACTCCTTTACTTTTTTTCCCACTAGGTTATATGAATCTACCTCCAGTACCTACACCCCCTCAGACTATTATCAGTGGAGGAGACCAGCACAACACATCCTCTTATTCAGTATATATGGGAGAACTCATGTCAATGCGAGGTAAAAGTGCTGCCTTTCTCAAACACTGATCTTGCTAGAGGCTTTGTTTGGGCTGTACCCTGGTAAGGTTAATTGCAATCAGAGGTTTCTCTTTTTTTTCTGCAAGACTCCTATATGTTAGCATTAATGGTATGATTCCTGTTATAGGGTTGGAGCTCCCATTACCCACCACTATCGTCTCAGACAGGATGTGGCCAAAGACTGCTCAGCGCTTTTTAGAGATTTTTTTTTGTTTTGTTTTTACTGTTCAATAATAATGTCAGCAATTCCCACAAGAGATTGCTTTTGCAAGACAGCTAAGCTATGTGCTAGAGATGGTTATCTACATATGCTTAGGTGTCTCAAGGAATACCCCTATTACTGCAATTTCTGATTTTATGATGTAAAAACAAAGTAGAGCTGGGAATCAGGGTTCACTTGGGACAGGATTCCAGTCAAGTTTGCACGTTGTACTAAGTTCTGTGTCTTTTTTTCCCGAATATCTCATGTGTGACTTCATTTTATTGGTCTCTTTTCTGTAACATTTGGTTTCCTGACCAGGAAGTTGAATGAGCTGGCCCATTGTGCCATTTGTACAGGGGACAAATAGATCAGAGGTGACCACTGCAGGACAGATGACTAGACACCATTTCCAATACTTTTGGAGAGATTCCTCCCTATGCAAAAGCTTGCTGTCACCCTGACCACTGCTGCTCATTCAGACTCACAGAGACTTGGGGCATTTGGACCTGGAAACACCAAATGAGATAAGAATCACCCTGTCACCAGAGTCTAAGAACATGCCTGACCCTATGGGTGGATGGCAGACTCTCCAAGAAATATTTATTTTAGGTTTCAAGATGGGACTCACCTTTAGAGGGAGGGAATGTTTTACACTCTGAAAGGTGTTTGAATGTATGGCTGCTTTTGCATGCATTGGCAGTTTGAATCTGTTGTCCCCAGTAGAAGCTATGAGTTATGAGTGGGCCTGAAACTGAAGTTCTCTGGTGATCCTCATATGGTCAAGGGTAGTTGGAGTCACATTCTGACATTGCTACAGTGAATTATCACCTAAATTCCACTAAGGAATGTGCTCAAATAGGCATCTGGCTGACCTTTATTGGAAGGCACAACTCCCTTGTTTATCCTGTGTCTACAATCATAGTGTGGTTGCATAATGGATGGGTCCCTTTCTGTGTTAGACATGTTAAAAACATTTTTAAAACAGGTTTAGTGAGGATATGGAATCAAACCAATCTGTGCTACACTTAGAACCTTGTTGTGGTTTGAGTGGCCCACTTTCAGTATTGGCTGGCCCTCAGAGGGAATGAAACATGTTGCCATAGATCAAATAGTCTGAAGAGTCCTTACAGAACATCTCAGATACCCCTATCAATTTCCCTAGATCAAATCATGGCTGTCCATGGCTTCTTTTGGTCTGGGATCCAAAACATTCTCACTCTGACTCTAGGAAAACCCTCACCAAAGATTTTCCAGGGCAAAACAATGGAGGACAAGTCCTGCCACACTCTTACCAATTTCAGTATCCATGCTCCACTAGCAGGGCTTGTGGACACCTAGCCACCCCCGGATCTGTCCTGAGCAATTCTACCTCCTATGGCTCCATGTCTCCCCAAACTTCCAGTAAATCAATGTCTCTGGGCATCACAGAACAACCTTCTACTAGCCCTACAGATACCATTGAGAAGACAAGGGCACCCCTGTCATTGATAGCAGATGGCAATGTTCAGCCAGCAGCTGTCATGATCTACAATCAGGCATTCAACACTACCAACCTTTTAAATTGAAAACATCATATTACCCTCTTCCTTGGAGTAACTGCAGGCACTTTAATTTATTCTGAGACATTTTCCAAACCCATCATCTAACATAGAGGGACTGTCGCCAACACCCCCGACCCTGTCAATACTGAAGAGAGATGGAGAATTCTCAAGGCCCACAAATGGACTCAAAACAGTACCCAGCTTGGACATTCCATCCTGACACATAGGTTCCCCCAGGTTGTTCCTAGCCAGGCTCCATACTGGAATCTTTACCAGCCAGAAGAAATAGTCCTCCCTAGACCACTACTGAGAGATACTCTTGAGGGGTCTCTGGGTGGCATCCAGGAAAGCTCACCACACAGCCACAATTATAACTGTCATCCAGAAGAGTAATGAGGCACCAGAAGATTTTATGAGTGGCTAGTTGAGGCATTCAGATTTATTTCCCTTTCAACCTGAAGCCCCAGAAAATGAACAGAAGGTCAGCAGCACTTTTGTGCTCAAAGTGCGCCTGACATTCATCAAAAGCTCCAGAACTCAAGGGCTTTGCAGGCATGAATGCTACTCAGTTTCTGAAGTGGCAAGCAAGGTCTATGTTAACTGAGGACCAGAATTATGATCCGAGGCAGGTGGCACTTAGCCTGCTACACCCCTCTCCAAGTACCAGAACCTCTGTGCCCTGCACCTATAGTAGCAGGGAGGATCAGAGCAGGGGCCCATTGTGTATCTTTAGTGTGAGGCTTGTCATGTCTGGTACTCTCATGTTCTGGCCATTGCAGTGTTTGACACAGTACGAGGCACTTGGCAATTTAATGAGATTTGAGTGGGGATTCATTATACTAACTTTAACACAAAATGAGAAGGCTTAAAAGTTGTTACAAAATTGTGCTGGTGGCAAATGACTGGTAGGAGGAGGAGGCTCATGGGGACTTGGTACCTTGTCAAAGATGACAACAGTGGCTCATCTGGGTCTATAGCACACTTGGTACAGACATGTCTTCTTCAATCATGGCTTTGGAAAAATCAAGAGTATCCAGCAATAGCAGTTTTAGATATTGTGAGTAGTGAGGTTTGAGGATGCCGACCCTGATACTCTTGACAGGGGGACCTACCTGTAACAGGGCTGGCAGAGCTCCATCATGTCACTGTTGTCTACCACCTCTCCCTCCATGTTCTGTAGCAGTTAGAAGCCACCAGTGGTCCAGGGTCTGACTGAAATGGTGTTCTTTCTAGGCAGAAGGCACCATCAGCAGAGTGGGAGGATTCTGGGATCCAGATATGTGGGAATAGCACTTTTTATGCCCCTGCTGATGTGGGACAGCCATCCCATGTGTGTAGCCCTGATCTCCTATCTTCTGCTGAGACTGATGACAGTTGATCCCTTAGTGCTGCCTATTGTGTGCTGAGACTGCGGTGACTGTTCCTCGCCACCGCTGGAGAATTAGGCAGGCTGCCCCAAGATACCTTGACCGAGGAGGGGAAGTCTCGCCACCCACCACTCAGCCTTCCCCAACCCAACCCTGGGGGACAATCAGGGATGGTGTGGAGCCCAGTCGAAGCAGGGTCTCACTTTATTGTAAAAGGGAGGTGTATATATAGCTGCGGTACAGAGCAGATGGTACAGAGCAGATGAGCAGATGCGGGCAAGTGGTGGGGTTGTTGAGATGCACAAGTGTCTTAGCCACTCCTATTATACCCCTTAATGATCCTAAGCAGAAGCGCCCTGGGGCTGGGGTGTTTGCTACCAGGGATTTGAAACTTAAAGACAGATTTTCAAATTTGAGGCAGGCTCAGGACGTTCCTCTAGGCCTCTCCGGATTCAGCCTCCCCACACTGAGACTGTGTAAATTTCTCCATTCCTTAATATGACCCTGTGGGGGTGAGTGAGCATGTACACTTGGTGTGTCTGTGTTGGATCATGGGTCTTTGGGCAGTCAGCACTGACCCAGTATTGGGCAATGGGCCTGCAATGAATGCACCAGACAGATGAATCCTGTGAGTGTGGCAATTTAACTGGTGGCCACCCAATGCCAATTGGGTGAGAAGCTGCCTCTTTGTGGACCAGGGAGGTGAGACGTGGACTTTTTCTATTTAGCTCTCCCTCTGACACTTCTATTGGCTAAGTCACCCTTCCAGGTGTCTAGCTCCTGTCATCCACCTGTCTTTAAGGCTGTCTGTGCCTCTGACCAGATGGATAGGAGCTCTGTAAGGGGAAGTGTATAGTGATTCTCTGGAGCTGTGTGATGTTGAGAGATTTTTCTGCCAACTTCAAAGAGGACTGGCCTCTGACAGCTGGTGGCTGTGGAGTTTCAAATGATGAGCTGAGGCACAGCCATCTTCATTTGGAGAGAGTTGCTGGATAGCTCCAACCAGTGCTTTTTATTATTTAATCTAGTGTTCAACTAGTAACATAACAATTAGGAACGCACAGCCAGACTAATCACTGTAGAAAAATAACAAGCAGGCACAAACAAGAGAGATAAGTATCGTCTGACATATGTAGAGCTTTTTGGGGTGAGAGAATGCAAGATTCTCTCCATCTCTCTCTATCTCTGTCTCTCTCTTCCCACAACCATGCCTCTAAAATAATTAAGGGCCAGAGCTTGGTACAGTGGGTTAAGTCACTATCTACATTGCTGGAATCCCATATGGATCCATTCAATCCTGTACAGCTCCCTGATTATGCACCTAGGAAAGTGGCAGAGAATGGCCTGTGTCCTTGAGCCCCTGCAACTATATGGGAGACCTAGAGGAAGTTTCTTCCTGGCTCTTGGTTCAGCCTGGCTCAGCCTCACCTATTGCAATTTTGGGGAGTGAACAATTACATAATACTCTCTCTCTCTCTCTCTCTCTCTCTCTCTGACTTTCAAAAATAAGTAAATACTTTTAAAAGGCCACAAATGTTTTACATTTGTTTGATGTTGCTTTTCCTTTCTTTTTGTTATGGTTGTATTTTATTTGTAAGCAGAGCTGAGAGAGAGAGAGAGAGAGCAGAGCAGAGCAAAGAAGCAAAGCTTGGAGAAGAGAGGGGGGGGAGGGAAGGAAGGGAAGAAGAGAAGAGGTTAGGATTAGAAGTGAGGGAGTAGGCACCCAAACCAGTTCTATAGGATACCAGCATCACAGATAGCAGCTTAACCCATTGTGCCACAATGCCAGTGCTTTGATGTTGTGTTTCTTAACTGGAATCCATGAGTATCATTTTCTTTATGGACCTCCATAAAAATGTTTCTATGTTTTGTTTTATTGAATATAAAATGTATTCTATTAATATAGAAATAATTATTTTAAAGTCTTGACTTATCTCACATGTGTTGATTTTGTGATATTCTCCATTATAATCGTAATCATTACAATCAACTTCATAGAGACAAATTTGACCATTACAAACAATATTTTGTGGCCATTTACATTTCAAGCATCCTGTCTTACTGACAATTTGTCTTATGGTTAACTGTTTTTATAGAAAAAATTTATTATCCTATCAAGTTTAGAGTTTTTGCCTTATAAACCACTTTTCCTAAATGACTTCATATTTTTTAAAAGTATTCATGCTGCCTACTGTTTTGTCATTTATTTTCCTGAAAACTATGGATAAGAGTGACAATTGAAAACCAGAAAGATTGTGAATGGGAGAGAGGAGGCTGTATTTGGGGATTTAAACCATGGAAATGGCCTCATGAATAATGGACAACCTTACTGTGTTAATCAAGTTAAACTATGTTCCATAATCTGTATATATGAAAAACATGAAACTTGCATACCTTAAATACAGTTGAAAATCCCAAGTTTCCAGAAGAATTAGTTATTTAGCCTAGATTATTACTTCAGCCAGTGGTCATTAAATGGAAAGTCATTGAATAAAATTTACACCTAAATTAACATAATAAGGTCTTGTACCTAAATACCATTATTTCTAGAGTGGCTTTCAGGGCACAGAAGTTTTAATCATTATGATAACCAATTTCTAAAATGTAAGTGTTTGGCTCTGG